AAACCCAACTTAACTATTGCAAAAGTCTTCTGCCAGAGCCTCATCTTTCAGTTACATACAGAAGGCCCTGCTGTAATGAAAAGTAAAACCATTTGGGTACTATATTTACGCGGAATTTATGCGTACAGAAGAGCGACTGGTCATAGGTGCTTCAGTACCAGTCATTCTCAGGCTATTATTACCCACCCTTTGTCATGTCATGTACACAACCTCAACAGGCAACATGCACCCTCCCAAGCAATATGGAGGGGGACAGGACACCGAAGTGGGGAGGGAAGAGGAGCTACAGGAGACACAGGACGGGACTAAAAAGAACTGGAAAGCAAACGCAGCACCAGAGGCGGGAGGGAGGAAGGACACAGAAACCAAGAGCTCAGTTCCACTTGGAAAAAAAGAACAGATGTTGCCTTGAACAACCATTCAGGTTCAGAGAGGCCTTTTGTTGTGCAACTTCAGGGAAGACCGTAGAAGACTGTAGATGCAGACATTACTCCACACAGTCAACAGCCATCATCACCACCACCATCATCACCGCCTCCTATGATGTAGTAGCTCAACTGTGCAGCACATGGCGCAGACGGGCAGATGACCCGCGCCGCGTCAACACATTTGCTTCTTGGATACGCTCAGAAGTCACCCCTACGTTGACGCACGCTTCGGCTGCACGAGTCACATCTCCCTCCCGCTGCTACGTTGCAGCCGCAGCTTGAGCCTCGTTTGCGTCCCGTGTGACTGGTCCGTACAGCATGCTGCTGCTGCTGCTCCTCCTCCTCCTCCTGCTCCTCCTGCTGATCCTCGGCATGGTGTTGGGTTGTTTCGTGTCCCCCCGTCGGGTTGCCAGGAACGGCAGGCGGCACGGGGACCGACGACTGGCGCTCCGTCTCCGTCTCCGTCTCCGTCTCCGTCTCCGTCTGCACTTTCCCCGCAGCATTCTGATCCGATCCAGGCAACGAACCCCCGTCATCGCCACCGTTACCACCGCCACTCGACGCTGTCTCGCATTCAGCAGCAAACGAGTCCGTCTTTCCGGCGTTCCCACCGCCGCAATTGCCGGCATCCGTCGTCACAGCACTGCTCCCGCTCCTACTCTCACGAATATCGTCGCCCCGCACCCGACACATAGACGATTTTGAGGGCTCCGCGCACCCCGCCGCTTCCGCCGCTTCCGCCTCCGCCCCTGCAGGCGCCGCGGCAGGCGCTGGCGCTGGCACTGCTGCCGAATCGTCTGCGGACAGAGGCGATTCTTCTCCTGCAAACCAGCTGTCGCCACACTCCGTCTCACCCCACACGGCGGGATGCAGCGCGTGAAGCGGGTAACCCGTTACAGACGAAACCTTCGCCTCAGAAGGAGAGCTGGGACGAGGACTGCTGCTGCTGATTGGCGATGACGGCGACAGTGACGGAGACGATGACGGAGAGGACGAAGGACTGGAACACAACCCGCCACGAGCACTGTGGCTTTCGGAGAACGAATCGGCGTCGGAAGCGTACGAGAGGAGAGTGGGTGGCAGGAGGGCGCAATCTGCGAGCGTGGGCGCGCAGGGAGACGCGGAGAATTGCGCGGAGAGGGCGGGCGAGGCGACGTGCGCGTCGCAGTGGATGATGCAGCCATGAAGCATTGGACAGTCGATCATCACGACCTCCCCGTCATCTGCGCCTTCTTCGAATTCTTCCCACACGCAACGCGACTGGCGGCTATTGATTTGTGCAAACTCGAGTTGGACAGATTGAAGCGCTTTTTCAGGGAGGAACTCTGCCTGCTCTGTCAATTCGTCCATGCGACTTGAGAAAACGGATGAAAACGCCATGTGGGAGGGAGAGAGAGCCCGAATTAGCAGGCAGTCCAAATTGATGTGAAGGGTTCAATCACAGGCTCGAAGCTGAGAAGGCGCACAGCATGACTAATGACTGGAACACTTGAGGATGAGCACTAAAACTGTCTTTCGGTGGAAGTGAATTTCATGGAACTGGCTAACTTGAAACATTCGATGCACCTCTTCCACCAAGCATCACAACACAAGTCGTTGGGTTGGGGGGCAAATGAGGGTGAGCAAATGACGGGCGAATGCAGGCGCGTGCGAGTGAACAGGCGGGACGGGACGGGACGGGTCACGGAACGGACATTTTCAAGCCAATGGAAAAACTTTGAACCTGGCTTGGTGGCAAGCAACAAGCAGGAGGAATTGCACGAGCTGAACTGGATGGGATGGACGATTGGATCGTGGCACACTTCAAGCGGCTCCGGGCAGTCTATTTTTTCCAGGCTGCGTGGGATTATGGGAGACGCTGGCTTTCCAGCTGTGGGTTGAGGTGGTCTGGGATTGGAACTGGGGCAGGGAATCAATTCTCCACTGGCCGAATCCTTTATGGATTGGTTAAGAAATATTGTAAAAGTTTTGCTCTAGTTGCCGGGTCCGGCCCGGATCCCTAAATCGGAAGCAGATGCGTAGGTCCGGGTCCCAGTCTAGCTGCCTTGACCAGGCAGGGTTCAGAGTGTGTTGAGGTCGAGGTCGCCTCCCTTAGCACAAAATTTCGTGTTCCCACAAATCGAAATTGCTGAGTGGCGGGTCATGTTGCATTTCATTCTTGCAGTACTTTACGGATAGCGTGATTATGGCACGCTAAATGCCTTACTATCACTCACGTGTACACTAGTCAGAATCTCTGCTTATTTTAATTACAGTATTTAGCGCGTGGCCCACTTATACAGTACCGCAATTTCTTTCAGCCATGTGTCCTTGGATGTGATGAGGCGCGGAAGGGCTGGTTCTGTGATCACCTTTCTACGAAATAATTGCGCGACGCGACGTGTTTCACATTTTCTCAATCCTGTGGAATACCCTCGCACCGCGCTCCTCGTTTTTTAATATTTCTCAATTCCTTGGACTGCTACATGCGCGTTTGCGATATTTATGTACTTCTTCTGAAAAAAGGGTTGGGATAGTTTTGTTGGAAGTTACATTCTCAGATCAGGCATGGTTTGTACTACCTTCCTTGTTTCAGTTTTACCTTTTTGGATTATTAGGTTCTACAGTGCAATGAGTCAGCGCAGGCACGAAAACAAATAAACCCCATACGGAAGGCATGCCATTCGGGAGCATCAACCCTAAATTTTTAGGGTTGAGGCTCCCGAATGGCATGCCATAAGCCATGGGGTTTAGTTTTTTCTGCCCACGGTCAGCATGCTGACTCATCTGGTTGCGTCGGTCGGGATTGCGTCAGATTCGCTATCACGCAAAAGCGCGAAATTCTTGGGACCCTAACCTCGAGAAGTATAATAAGCAGAACAGCCGCACCGTGATATCGGGTGTAGAAAGAAGTGGCAGTCCAAGGAATTGAGAAATATCGAAAAACGGGGAGCGCGGTGCGAGGGTATTCCACAGGATTGAGCAAAATGTGAAACACGTCGCGTCGCGCGATTATTTCCCTTCTACGGTTGGCGTCTCCAACACGTGTAAGAGGCATCAGTCGGAAGTCGTTAGCAGTAGTTTCTCGGACACACAAGATTGTTGTCGTGGGAAATGACTGAAGGGACCAAACAAACGCGCCTCGCCAGCTGTTGTTGGGAGACCCGTACTTTGTAAAAACAAGCACCCTCATTTTCCTATACACCCTCTTTCTCACCTCTCTCACCGGCGGAAGCACTGGCTACAGTGTTTGGACGTAGCGGGCTGGTGAGATAAGTCGGTTGCGGGCAAGGTCGCACGAGGGTTTGAAACACGCCTTGGGCCGTAAAAAACCATTAACGTTGAATAACCGTCCTGACCGCTTTGAAAACAACAGTACCATTGTAGAACGTAGAAAACCTTGACTAAACGCCCTGGGTCAAATTGTCACTGTAACGCATGTGATAGGACCTTCTTTGGTCCGGTGCGGCTACACTAAGCGTCTCGGTCAGTATAACATATGCCAGTCTATCGAGAATGAGGGTGTATGTACATTCCGGAAGTGTAGAATATCATCGACAATTGGCTGACTCGGCTGAATACTGCTGTGACTACTGACGAATAAGAGTATGACAACACATGGAAGAACACGGGATTTGTGCGTGAGTGATGTGGAATCCAAGCATGGTTCAGATGCCAGGCGACCCATCACTTCAAGAACCACTCACAATGCAGTATGTCAGGCAGACTCGAACATACCACGTCAGCTGCATGCTTCGACATTCTGTACTCCTCGAGGTGCCATGCTGGCATCCCCATCCCCGTCGAAATTCCAATTTGTGGAGGAAATTGTTCCGGGGGTTGTTCAAGACTTTTACTGTATGTTCGTCCGTGCGACAAACGGATTGCAGTGCGACCGGCCAAGAAGGCACCAGTCCGAAGTTGGGGTTGACGAAGCCCACGGCATCAGCAAAAGGACTGCTGTTGGTGGCATGGCAACGAGGCATCCGCAAATGAGCAGCTGGCAAGGCTTGATGGCAGCACCAGTAACAGCAACACAACCCAACCAACCAACGAGCTTGGACGGTAGTGTTCTAAAGATATCCAAGCATCAAGGTCATACTTCTAATAAACTCTACATGGAAAATGAATAACATTTAGCTTGTAGTAAGCAATATTCTGGCAATGTCACCAGTAAATTACACACAAGCAGCATGCCAGGTGTATTCACAATCTAGCAGCCAAGCAAGCTCATAATAAAAACCACACATGAGGGCACACAGTACAGTTGTCATCTCTCAGATCACCATTACCAACCCGTTTTCCACACGAAGGCCCACTGCTCCACATGGACTCCACAGCTGATGCACAGCAGCGTGAGATTGAACTGCTCTCACAAGCTCGTCCCAATATATCAAACCCAGCAAATGCATGTGTCATTTCATTTGAGCTACATCCTTCCCACCCACCGCACATGACACGTCTCTTCCCTCTCCCAGAGCGCCTTTCAAATCTCCCAGCAACCCCCCCAACGAAGCAGCTATGGCGGGCACCAGCCATGCTCTAAAGTCAGCCTCGTTTCAACTCTCAACCACGTCTGCTCAGCAGCACACACTAGTGCTTAAACCCCTGCCTGATGATAAACTCCTCGTCCTCATCAGTATCCGACTCCCACCCAGCAAAAGCCCTCTCCCACTTCTTCCCAGACAGCTGCGCCTCAGGAGACCACCGCTGCAGCTGCTTTCTCACAGCTGCTCCCCCCACTGTCATCCTGTGCGCCCCTGCTACTGCTCCATACCTCCCCATTCTTCTCCGTCCACCCCCCTCCTCGTCCTCCTCGCTGGACTCATCCCACTGATGCTGCTGCTGCTGCTGCTGCTGCTGCTGCTGCCGGTGCCGTGCCTGCTGCTGCGCCTGCTGCTGCTGTTGCTGCTGCTGCATCTGGTTCACAGCAGCGGCAGCAGCGCCGCGCATGCGAATCGCCCGCTGCTGCTGCAGAATACCCGACCCTAAACCCCCGCGAGCAGAACCCACAGGAAGGCCCAAGGGATTCACAGCAGGAACAGACCCATAAGGAGAAGCCGGTGAGGAACCAGGAGCTGCTGCAAGGGAGGAGGAGGAGCCGTCACCGGTAATTGTCGCAAGAGGGACCGTGGTGGGGGCATGGGGGCGCAGGCGCAGCCAGCGTGTGACGGCGCTGGCTGTGATGCGAAGGACACCGGAAGACTCGTAGCCAAAGTAGGGCAGACCCAGGCGACGCAGCAGCGCTGCGATTCCTTGGGATGTCCTGGTGGGGATGGTGGGAGAGAAGGCGAAGGCGGGGAAGGGCGGGGATGTATAGATTTACACAAGGGAAGGTGAGCCAAAGCAGCGCGTCGTGAGAGATTAATTCCTACGCTCCATCTCTCCACCTGCCTTTCCCACTCTGAGAGTTTAAGCTATGCTCATGCTCCCCTCCCCCCCCTCCTCCTTCTCTGTTGTGAAATGTCTGTACCTGGAGGCTATCTGGAGTGTGTGCGTGCCCTTGCGCTTGAGAGGGGTAACCTCCACGGACTCAACTGGCAGGTGCAGCGCGATGGGGAAGATCTTCATACCCGGCACTGCAGCGCAGTCAGAGAGTTTAACACAGGCAGTGAGCAGAGGCAGGCGGAAAGAGGGTGGACACAGGCAGGGCGGAGAGAGGTTTAACACAGGCGCAGGGGGTGTAGCGTAAGCAGGAGCGGTAGTAAGCGACAGAATCAGGGGAGGGAAGGACGGGGAGTAAAGGAATAAGGTACAGGAAGAGACGAGGGAACATAGAGAGCAGCTCCAGAGGCAGAGGGGGAGGCCTGTGAGAAGGCTGCGCAAATGAGCTCGCGTTATAGAACTGAGACAATAACGCCAATTGAGTTTGAGTAAGGGAGTCTGAGTAAGGAAGCGAGTGAGAAGATACAAGGGCGTCGACGTGAAGCAAACACTGGGGACAAGGAAAAGGACAAGGACAGGGGGGTTTGGTTGGTTGGTTGATTGGTTGGCTGATTGGTGGATTGGTTGCAGAGATCATACTTGCTCGGTACTTCTTGAGCAGGCCTCGCAGCAGCACTAGCACACAAACCTGCTCATGGGAACGACCGGCAGAGAAGGACAGAGCTAAGGCCAAAGGAAAGAAGATATTTTTGGTGGAAGGCAAGGGGCCAGGAAGAGGATGGGGTGCACATGAAAGAGGGGTGACAAGGCCACAAGCATATAAAGGTGAGAATTGCAGGAACACAAGAATTGCGATTCTCATTCGCAGGGATGGATCAAGGATGCATGGATGGATGAATTGGCTAAGAGATTGTTGCTTCGTACCTCTGCGAGGTTTGGTGGGTATCCAGCGAACCGCAGGGAGATGGGTCCAGCCGTGGAGGAGAGCACAGGCACTGCTCCTAGCACCTCCGCCTCCTGCCACACACGCACATAGTGGAGGACAGGATGATGATGACATGTGGCATGGCAACAAGACATCAGTGCACGAGTGGAACCATGCGGGGAATGGCAATGCATGCAGTAAGGTTGAAGCATAGGATACACCATCAAATGACCTTTCCCCCCACCCTACTGCCCTCTACACAATTCCCCCTCTCTGCCTCCCAACACCCACCTCTTCCCTCTACCTCCCAACACCCACGCACCTCATAGAGCGAGTAAGCAAGCGGCTCATAGAGGTCAAACACGTCTGCAAGCGGGGAAGAGGCACTGCCTGCACCACCGCTGCCGCTGCCGCCGCTGCTGCGACCTGAACCTGCTGCTGCTGCTGCTGTTGCTGCTGTTGCTGCTGGAGCCGACTCTAGGTTGCTGAGTACGGTTTCTGGCACAGTGAACGAATAGCTGCCGCTGTTATGGCTGCCGCTGCTGCTGCTCAGCGCGAAACCAGACGAGGGGAGCGACGGAGGCAGGCGGGATGCAAAGGCAGGTGGTGCTGCTGGTGCTGCAGATGAAGATCGACCAGCAGCCTCCTCTCCTGCTGTATAGACAGCGAGAGGTGTATGTGGGCTAGAAGGGGAGGAGGAGGAGGAGGAGGACGAGGAGGAGGAGGAGTGTGGAGCGCGTAGGAGGCAGAGGAGCTTGGAGAGGAGGTTGAGAGTGGGGATGACGCCACAGGCCACACTCTGGCGGTACACTGCCAGACCACACTCCGCCCTGCAAAGGGGAAAGGGAAAAACGCGAGGGGGGATGTGGGAGGACGGGATGGACATGCAAAGGAACTGGGTTAGGAAAAGAAGCAGGTGGAGAGTGGACGGGGAGAGATGCGAGGAAAGATGGTATCAGGTGGAAGGGTGTTGTGTGGTGAGGGTGATGCGGGAGTGGGGATGAAGCAGTTAGGAGACGGATGCAAGGGAGGTGCAAGAGAGACAATGTGGAGAACAGGGTGGAGTAAGAGAGAAGCGGAAGAGGGTGACATGGAAGGCAAGTGGGTGGTCAGAGGGTTCAGAAGCGGAGCTGAGATTGAGCAGCGCCGAGCCGATAAGTGAATCGAGTGAGCTGGTGACTGAGTGATGGAGTGAGAGAGCGAGAAGCACAGAGGGCGAAGGAGCTGAGCAGTGCAAAGCAAATAAGCACAGGCGACAAATTAACCTTGACAATAGTGCGAAGGCATACGAAAAAAAAGGGATCAGTGGCGACTAACTGACTGGCTGACCGAGTGACTGACCGATAGACTGACTGACTGACTGGCTGACCGAGTGACTGACTGATAGACCGACTGACTGACTGGCTGACCGATTGACTGACTGATAGACCGACTGACTGACTGGCTGACCGAGTGACTGACTGATAGACCGACTGACTGACTGGCTGACCAAGTGACTGACTGATAGACCGACTGACTGACTGGCTGACCGAGTGACCGACTGATAGACCGACTGACTGACTGGCTGACCGAGTGACTGACTGATAGACCGACTGACTGACTGGCTGACCGAGTGACTGACTGATAGACCGACTGACTGACTGGCTGACCGAGTGACTGACTGATAGACCGACTGACTGACTGGCTGACCGAGTGACTGACTGATAGACCGACTGACTGACTGGCTGACCGAGTAACTGACTGATAGACGGACTGACTGACTGGCTGACCGAGTGACTGACTGATAGACCGACTGACTGACTGGCTGACCGAGTGACTGACTGATAGACCGACTGACTGACTGGCTGACCGAGTGACTAACTGACCAGTCGTTGTCCGGGTGGTGGAGGTCAAAAGCCATGGGGAGATGGCCGATGACAAAGGAGAAGGACGGCTTCGGCGCCCCCGTCCTGTGCTGCTCCATGCATATTTCTGCCGCACGTGACGAGAGGAGGAGAGCGAGGTCCGAAGGAGAAAGGGAGGGGAATGAGTGGAGAGAGGGAGAGGGGAGTGGACAGGAAACAAGAGGAGAATTAGCACCTAAAGATGGTGCAGGGTTCAAGCAGCCCAAACAATGTTAGACCCTTCATGGAATTTCCCGCAGCACACAAAGCCCAGCTCCAGTCCATCCACCCACCCCCGTCCCTCCTCTCGGGATTCCATCCTAGAACACAACACATGGAAAGACAGGCTCGCATGTCACTCCCAGCGCATATCTCACTGCCCCCAGGCGCCTCACTGCGGCGTGCGTGGCCAGCTCACCAATCATGCTCTCGCAGATGGCATGGCCTATGCGCGCGCCATCCACCTGCGCCTCGTGGTACAGCGAGAACGCCTGCTCCACCATGCTGTGCCTGCACCACAGGGGAACGGAGGGGGAAAGGAGAAGAAGATGAGGCGATAGGGGAGGGAAAAGACCAGGTTCAGGGTCACAGGGAGGGATGTGGGAAGGGGAATGGGGGGGAGGGAAACAGGAAAAAGGGGAAGGGGTGAGGAATTAAGTTTCGTGTGAGAGGGGTTTCATAGAAGAGGGGAGAGGCGGAAATTTGGGAGGGGGAAGGGGGATGAGCGGATATGGGGAGGAGAAGGGGAGAGAAGAATAGAGGCAACGGGAGCAGAGGGTGGAGGGGATAATTTAGGGCATACGGGGAGCACATGAGACATGCATGACGTGAATGAACAGGAAAGCATGACATAGAGAGAGGTTCAAAGCAGCTTTTGGGTAGAATTATGAAATGGGAGGGAGGGACGGACAGCGGAACCAGCAGAGAGGAAGAGCGAGGAAGAATGAGGCAAGTGAAAGGGTAGCGAGTGAGAGGGCAGCGAGAGAGAGGCGGGCAGGAGCTCACTCCTTGCAGGCGGCGATGAGGAGCGCGTAGGTGGTCTTGTCGGGCTTGAGGTCCATGGCACGCATGTCCTGCAGTGCTGATAGCGCCTCCTCCACACACCCCTGCTGGCCTGCCATGCGTGGATGGATGCATGGAGTAACGCGAGCATGCAGGGATGCATGCATGGGGGAATGTGTGCACACATGGGGTGGGCAGAACGGGGAGAGGAGGGATACAGAATGTTCAACAAGGGAACAGCGCGAGGGTGGGAAGGAGGGGGAGAGAAGGGGGGAAAGGGAGCACGCAGTGTGAAAGACTCATTGCTTTTGTGTTTGAGGTGGATGGACGAGCTTGGAAGGAGCTAGACGAAGGGTGAGCAGATGGGGAACGATTGAGGTGGGTGGCATGAGCGCGGGGACTCAAAGTGCGAGGTAATGTGATGAGCAGCGTGGGGGGGGGACTCACAGAGCGAGGTGATGTGATGAGCAGCGCGGGGGGAGGGGACTCACAGAGCGAGGTGATGTGATGAGCAGCGCGGGGGGAGGGGACTCACAGAGCGAGGTGATGAGGGCGTTGAACATGGGCACAGAGGGGCGCAGCATGGCGGACTGCTGGCGCTTGGCCTTCACCTCCGCGTACAGCTGCGACGCCTCGTCCGTTAGCCCAAGCTGCCATGCCGCGATGCATGGCCGGGGGTGACGGCAGGGAGGGAGGGAGGGGATGAGCAGAGAGAGAGGGAAGGGACAGTTTGAGGGGCGGCAGGAGTGAGCAGGAGAGTAAGAGAGGAGGGACGGACGGACGGATGGACGGACCGACGGAGAGCGGAGAGAGTGCAGGACGAATACAAAGTGAAAAGGGAGAGGAAGGACTTGACAGGCGAAAAGCGAAATTTACAGGCGGACAGAGGGAAAGGAAGTGGGCAGAGGAGAGGTGAGGGAGGGCGAGAAGAGGGAGGGGAGGTGAGGGAGGGCGGGAAGAGGGAGGGGAGGTGAGGGAGGAGGGGAGGGGGGAGGAGGGGGGAAACGGACAGGGAAGCGGGGAAAAGGGGTGGCAGGCACAAGACAGGTGGGCAAAGAGGGAGAAGGAGAGGGGAATGCAGGGCGAGGGGAGGGGCGTGGCGTACCCGGTTGTACATGCCCATGAGAGCAGCGTAGGTGACGGTGCCTGGCTGCACGCGTGCCCGCCGCATCTCCTGCAGCAGCGCCAGCGCCGCGTCGGGCTTGTTGGCATGCGCCGCCACGTTGATGAGCGCACTGAACAGGATCTGATGATGTTGATGGCGCACCATACAGGGGGAAGAATGGGGGAAGGGGGGGATGGGAAGATGAAGGGGATTTCTGAGGAGACTAGAACATGCGCTGCCACATTCATGAGCGCACTGAACAGGATCTGATGCGGCAGAATGGGCCGTGAGGGGGAGTGGGAGGAACAAGGGGGGAAAGGGGGACAACCGAAGCGGTAAGGGGTGGGGTTGGAGTGGGGAGGGGAATGGTGGGAACAATGAGAATGGAAGGAGAGAACGAGAGAAATGTCAACACTCCAGACCTTTCTGTGAGACGTCTCTTTGAGCATCCCTATCCGTATCCCTTTCTCTACCCCCCCCCCCCCCCCTTTTCCTCCTCCATTCATCGTGTTCTGGCTCATGGTGCATGAGACCCCAGCAGGTCGCCTCTCTGCCTGCCACTCTTAGGCGACACACCGAACCCAACCCCATGGACAGAAACTCCTTGCGTACTCCCAAACTTCTCCGCTTTCCCCTCTTCGGAATTCGCACCACGCTGTTTTGAGGTGCTGGAACCACACCGCAAGAGCATGCAGCAGGGCCGCTGCCCTCGGCTCTGCTCTGCTTGCCCTGCCTGCTCTGTGTGCTCATCTTTCTCTGCTCGCTCAGCCGCAATGCTGTGTCTGAACAAGCTCTTGGGCCTCTCCCCCATTCTCCCTGCACTCCCCCCCTCTTCCTTTCCCCTCCCCCCTCTCTCGTCCGCACCTCGTCAGGCTTGATGTTGTGTTGCTTGAGGTGCTCGTAGATGGCGAGAGCGCGAGGCAGGTCGCCGGTCTGGCTGCACGCGTGCACGGCGGCCGTGAACACCTCTAGCGACGGCCGCACTCCACCGGCGCGCATCTCCTCATACACCTCCAATGCTCGCTCCACCTGCACGCGCATGCAAGTGCGCACGCACATACATACGTCGTACATGCATGCACGCACATGCACACACGCGAACAAATGAACGCACGCATACAAGTGATAGTGGCACATGCGGGGGTAGGGGCCGCAGGGAGAGGGCGGGGGGAGGGAAAGGTGGGTAGGTTGGAGAAAGGATGGAAAGGGATGAAGTCGATCAAGACAAGAAATACAGAATGGGAGGGATCGATCAAGTCGACAAGGGATGTGGGAAGCGATCTCTCAATGTGCTCTACCCTGTTTGTCCAGTTCTTTTAGAATTCTCAAAAAACAGACTCATAGTTTCCTTCTTCATTTACTTTCTCCCACCACAATCTCCATCAACTTTCCTGCCACAACCATCACACCTGCTCCTCCGCTTCCTCCTTCCCTCCTCCACCCAGGCACCCCTCACAGGACAGATTTCGTCACAACACATTCCCTCCTCCGTCCCCGTTGCCCCCGCCCTTGTCCTTTCCCATCCACGTCTCCCCGTCCCCGTCCCCGTCCCCGTCCCCGTCCCCGTCCCCGTCCCGACCCCGTCCCCGAGCCCGACTTCGCACCTGCCGCAGTTGACGCAGGCGGCGATGACAGCGCCCATGGTGACGTGGTCGGGCGTGAGGCCCTCGAAGAACGCATGGCATGTCTACAAGCACGTCGGCCCACTAGTCCCCGTTCTTCCCACCCTCTCCCTTCCCATCCCCGTCTCCCCGTCCACGTCCCTATCCCCTTACCCGTATTCATCCCCATCTCAGCCCCCAAACTCCCTCCGTGTCCCCGTCCCCGTCCGCGTTCCCGCCCCCCTGCCCGTCCCCTGGGGCCTCCCCGCACCTGGCCGCAGTTGGCGCAGGCGGCGATCACGGCGCCCATGGTGACGTGGTCGGGCGTGAGGCCCTCGGAGCGCATGTCCACCAGCACGTCGAACGCGCGCTCCCAGCTGCCCGCGCGCCCGCACGCCGTGATCAGCGCGTTGAAGATTGCGCGGTCCGGCTTCAGACCCTGGGGGGACACGGGGGCACAGGCGGAACGGGGGGAACCGCCGGGACGGAGCGGACAGCGGGAGCGGAGGGGACGGGGGAACAGGGGTAACGGGTGGTACCGGGAAAGAGGAGTTATGGCAGGGGAAAGCGGGGACACGGAGAGCGGGAGGCGAGGGTGGAAGGGAGGGGGAGGAGGGAGAGAGGGACACTTCGAGGGTGGGGAGGGGGAAGGGAAAGCGGGGAGGGAAGAGGCTTAAGATAGAACGACGGGACGAGAGTCACTAAGGGAAATCGGGCTGGTGTGAGCAATGGGGGAGTGAGGGAGCGAGGGAGAGAGGCAGGCAGCGAGGCAGCGAGGGAGGGTGGGCGCGGTACCTTGGAGATGAGGATGCCGTAGGCGCCGAAGGCCTTGGCGACGTGGCCCTGCTTGGCGCAGCCGTCGACGAGCGTTCCGAAGGTGCGCACGTTCGGCTCCACGCCCGCCGCCTCCATGTCGTGATACACCTGTGCGCGCGCGAGACAAGAGCGGCGGAAGGGAGCGGAGCAGGCAGGAGAAGAGCGAATAGAGAGGGTAGGGGAGTGGGGGGAGAGGAGGAAAAGGCGGGAGTATAGGGGGTGGGAAGGGAAGTGTACGGGGGGAGGGGCGTGTATTGTTGAGCAAGAGCTTAGGGTAAGGTATGCTTAATGCCCGCCATGTAGGGCACCAGGCAGTACCCGTGCGAGAGTGCGGGGGTGCGGGAGCGCAAGCGTGCGGGCGTGTGGGCGTGCGGGTGTGCGGGTGGGCGGGTGTGTGGGCACTGACTGTCTCACCTTGAATGCGAGGTCGAGCTTGGCGGCCTTGCAGCACGCCGCAATTAGCGCCGTGTACAGCGCCGTGTCCGCCCGCCACCGCGACGCCTGCACCATGCGCAGCACCCTCTGCGCCGCTGCAGAAAGCCACGCGCGCGTACAACACAGAGAGGCAAACAAGGAGACAAGGAGCGGGTGGTGAAGGGGGAGAATGGGGGAAGAGGAGGCGGGAAGAGAGGACGCGGGGCGGGAGGGAAGAGAGAGTGAGATGTGGGATGCTGAGAATATATCTTACAAGCGCGGCAGGTTAACGTTGAGGCGTTGATTGCGAGGGCCGGGACAGGTGGGACGTACATGCAACGTCGGCGCAGTGGGAGCAGACGGAGAGCAGCTGGTTGTACGAGGACAGCTGCGCCGCGCCCGCCGACTCCAGCAGCGCCACGAAGCGGAACGCGGAGGACACGGCGCGCTCCGACTTGCACATGGAGAAGAACAGGTTGTGGTAGATCTGACGGCGGGGTGATGGCGGGGGAAAGCGCGGAGGAAGCGGGGTGATAGGGGGAGAAAGAGGGGGAAGGGAGGGTGAAGGAAGAAGGAGAAAAGGGGAAAGGGGGAGGGGGAAACAAGTGGAGCGGAGAAAGCGGGGAGTATGAGCGGAACAGGAGAGGATGCCGACTCGATGTGAGGGAGGCGTTTGAGAGAGGAAGGAGTGAGGGAGGTATGAGGGGGGTGTGAGGGAGGTGTGAGGGAGGTGTGAGGGAGGTGTGAGGGAGGTGTGAGGGAGGTGTGAGGGAGGTAAGGATGGTGCATGGGAGCAAGAGAGATTCCGGTGTAAGGGTTGGGTTACACTCACCTGGTTGGGGTCGAAGAGCGCGTGCTGATGCATCTGCTCCAGAAGACCCACGCATTTGTCCAACCTGGCGTGTACGTCGGCGGAAGTGTGGGCGGTGGAAACGGAGGAAGAGGCGGGGAGAAAAGGAGAGGGTAAGAGAGGCGAAGGGCAGAGAGGGGTGCATGCCTTCCTTTCGCAGCCATATCCCACAACGAGTCTGTCGCACATGGTGGTTCCCGTGTGCAGCTTCTCAATTGTAATCTCATATCTACTCTCTTTCACGCGACAGATCCCTTCCGGCTTCGAACTCTCGAAGGTCTTTGCCCGACGTTCCGCAAAAGCGCTTGTGTTGGCAACGACGCTGATAACCTCAAATCCACACCACAGACAGACAGACCGTTGAGTTTCGCAAAACACGGTTTGCTTCTCTAGACATTACACTCGCAGCGGCGTTACAGACGCCGCAACGCTTTAGGCACAAACACCACTCGTAGGCGCAACACATCCCGTCAAAATACAACAGAAACCAGCATGTACATCACCCCACACCACACCACACCACACCATACCACACATACCTCATAGCGAGTTGAAACTGACACGCACCTGCCCCCGAGTCGGACCCATCGGTTGTACGTCGCAATGTATTTCTCCACGTCACCACCCGCCTCAACGCTCACGTCCTCCTCCGCTTTCGCCGCTGTGCGCCTCTTCTGCTGCTGCTGGCGCCGTTGCATTCTCCGCGTCGCCTCGTCCACATCCTCCGCCTCCTGCGCGCCTTTTTCCAGCGCCACTGTCGCTCCGGTGACGTTGCCGTGAGCAGCGGGAGGAAGCACCTTCGCGCCCTGCGCGCCTGCGTTCCCGCTGCCGCCTCCGCTTTTGCCTCCGCTTCCGCCGGAGAAGCTGGAGGAACGTTGCGGGCTGGAGGCACGGCCAGCGCTGCTGCCGGTGCTGCTGCTCCCTGCGCCGCATCCGTCTGATTCGTTGTCGGAGCCCAGGCCCGGATTGGCTCTCGCGATGATTCTGACGCGCGGTGTGTTGGCGAGGGCGATGGCGCGAAATGCAGCAGGCTGGCATGACGGCAAGGAAATTTGGAAAAACGAAAAAACGAAGCGAAAGAAAACGGTATGGGTGACTGTTGGAACGGTATGAGGCATGCGACTACGAACGAAGAGAGGTTACTGCTTGTGTGAACGAGCGTCACCGTGTCAGTCACAGATTTAGTGACCATGAATAGTTTTAAGACATTTTCAGGACCAGGGAACGAAACTAATGGCACTACCAAACTGACGGCGCCACTTCGGCGTGCGCAAGAGTTCAGACAACTGATAACCAGAGCAGGCGTTCGGGAACCGGAATGGTAGAGAGAATAGGAGAAGAGAATGAACGAGGGGTGAAAGATGGAGGGCGAGGCGCATGAGATCAAGCCGTTAGACAGTGGAGCATAACTCATGCGTGTGCGTGGAACGAGATAGATTCACGTCAGAGATAGATGGCTACACTGAAAACGACAAAGGTAAGAAAGAGATATGCATAGGTAGAAAGAGAGAGGTATGAGTGTATGTAGTGCAGGATAGATAGAGAAGCTGAACAAGTGCGTCAGCTGAAGCTACGAGAAATCCTACAGCTATTGCGCAAGGTACTGGAGGGTGGATATAGGATGACTGATGGGGTAAAAGGCCGATAGAGATTGTGGGAGCTATGACTTGATTTGATTCGTGCAGTAGCATGTTTCTGTCGGACAGAACGGACTCGTGCGGTAGCATACCTTGTTCAGCATTCCAGGAGAGGCGGAAATGAATGAGCTGAAAAGCGAGGTCTCTGAACGCGCTGCTTGCAGGACAGCAACCCCCCGGTTCAGTGTTAGATCCATCGCCATGGTCAGGCGGGAGGGGAGCTGCAAAGATAGGAAGTTGACCCGAAACACCTCGCTACGTGGAAGTTCTAGTATATTTAGGTGGTTGCTGGAACGCGTACTGCGACAATGACGCTGAATGGCACCCCGTGACAACTGAACGAAGAGATTTCGCGACCCAGAAAACACCACAACCAGAAAAGCTGCCAAGCAGTCAGAACGGGATGTCTTGACTGCCTCGTCAGTGTTGAGAACTTAGGAGGGAGGTAGGTGGAAGGAACTCCCAACCAGAGCGGGAAGGATCAGGCGAACGGACTCAAAACCAGACCAAGAGGAGAAGGTACCTGCCAATCTGTTGCTTTGCTTCCCTTTCCTGCAATGGTGGGTGGGCGGGAGGGTCCAAGGGCAAGTGCGGGTTCTCCTGGGTTGTATTTGTTGAATCCCTTGTTCCCCCCCCTTCTTGTGGTATGGTTCTGCACTGCATGTTGTGGCGAGTGGGTTCACATTCACAATCCTCAACTGATTGGGAAAACTACGAAACGAAACTCGCAGGCTCGACAAACACGCGCACCGCGCGTTCTGTGGCCTGGTTTGGGGCGCCACCCCACGAGGCTGCGCGGGACACCATGGAAAGTTTGCCACATGGCAGATAGGGTCGCCAGCGGAAAAGGCATTCTTTTGGAAAGAGTGGGAACGTTTGCCACGTTAATGTCCAACAGTGCTCACAGGGAAGGCACCAGGCCGTCGATTCTGCGCTAGGCAGAATGGATGGCTTGAATGAGATTTTGCAAAGGAAAAAACGTCTTCGTTAAAGCTCAAGGCCCAAATTGTTCAGGATTACTAAAGTTGACCCTTGGGTGGTGGGAAAGCAGAGTAGGAAAGTCGAGGTGTTTGAGGGGTGTAGGGGTTTGGTTTCGCCCAGCTTCTCGCCACACTCAAAACAAAATTCGCTGACTCAGCAAAGCCTAGGGGACGCTCAGGTTTGGTTGCGCGAGTCCCATATTGCACAAATATTACTCTTGCCAGTTTCCCGCACCACCTGTTCCATTCGCTGACTCAAATGTTCTGGCCAATCAGATGGCTTCGTACATTTCGTAACCACAATTCGCCCAGCTAAAGCTGCAAAGCAGCACTCGATCAACCTTACTAAACTTGCCTCGCGCGGCCCGCAATTTGGGCCTTGAGCTTTAACCAAACAGCCTCTGCTGATGTGGCTAAAAAAGCCGTAAGATCTGGTGAGTCTGACGGGGCCTGGTTGCTTGCCAGCATGTTTCACCAAGCAGCAAAACACTGTTTGGGATGCACGTGACAGCAAGCGTAACAAATATCTCCACCACAAAGTTAACTCTCCTTGTCATTAACTCACCATACAGTGTGGGCAATCTCTAGTGCTTGTAATAATACAGCTCTATTTTGTCGCCTATGTCTTTTGAATCTCTATTACAATATAACTCCCAAGTATTAGGTTTAGTATTAGGTCTGTAATGCAAACATATTCCTGAATTAATATGTTTTCAAGGCTCATATATGAGGTAATATTTAAGAATGATTGCAAATTTCGAAAATGCTGGTTTTGCCTTAATATATAAGAGACCAATCAAAGGGGACTCCACATTGCTATCGAATCAAGCTGATTCAACACATTATTGCGTAATACGAGTCACCACCACCACCAGCGATATGCAGTAAGGTTCAGCTATTCTCATCAACCTTGGAACAGGAGATTCGTGATTCGTACTAGATCTTCAGCGTCGCGTAGGTTAGGTCACTTAGTACGCTACTGAGGCATACTGTCGATTTGGACCAGATTTGTCTTTAGCGTTTCAACCCTCAACGCGAAGATGTCGGCCATGGCGTTCTTGGATGCGCAGCAGGCCGCCCGGCCAGACCTTGCGGTCTGGTTCGCAGACATGGGGGATCTGTACCAGAAAAAGCTATGGCATCAGCTGACAATCAAATTGGAGCAATTTCTGGCACTTGCCGTGCTGCAGGTATGGATTGGAAACTAAACTTTCTGAACTTGTCTACCGGTTTTTTGGACTCTGCTAATCATGTTCTCAGATCCACCCGTGTGACTGGGATGTTTCTGTAGGCTGGAGACATCATGATCCAGCTGTATCAGAACTTTATTTCGGACTTCGAGACAAAGATAAACCTTCTGAAGCTTGCTCACTTCTCAGTGATAATCTCCCGGCAGTATGCCGACAAAACTGAGGCTATAGCTTTTTTGGAGGGAATAATTGAGAAGCTGCGGGGAACAAAAAGTAAGAGGATAGAGGAGCCAGTGGTTTATGTGAAGATGCAGATCGCTGCTTTGAAGCTGCAATCAGGAGATCGGAAGGAGTGCAAGGCCCTTCTGGATGAGGGTAGGGCAATCATTGACAGCATGGCGGATCTTGACCCCTCAGTTCACGCCAGCGTTCACTGGGTTAGCTCGCAGTATTACAAATCGAAGCAGGATTTTGCTGAATTCTACAAGAGTGCGCTCTTTTACCTGGCCTACACGTCCGTCGACACACTCACTGACCCCTTCAAGCTGGTACGCATCTATCAGTCGACGTTGTTGGATATTTTGGACGAGTGTCGATTGACCCCTTTGTGGTCTCTGTTTAGGATTTGGCTGTCGATCTGTCTTTGGCGGCGTTGCTTGGTGAGAACATCTACAACTTTGGCGAGCTTTTGGCGCATCCAATTGTAAGTTCTAGGCACCGTGTCATGATTTTTTGGTGTCGAATCCCAATCTGCCGGAGGTTCAGTGAACGGTTCTCTGTTGGTTTGCAGGTCGGCGCTTTGGAGGGCAGCCAGTTTCAATGGCTGTATCACATTCTTCACGCGTTTGAGCATGGTGACCTGCACAAGTATGATGAGTTGTGCTCCCTGTATGCGGCTCAGCTCAACGCTCAGCCAGCTCTGGTGGAGAATGAGAGACGTTTGAGGGAGAAGATCACAATCCTTTGCCTAATGGAGCTGATTTTCAGGCAAGTGTTTTCCTTCAGGCATAAAAGCTGTTTTTTTCTGTAGGACGTGGACTAACCTGCTTTGTTTCGTCATGCAGCCGGCCGTCTGATGACCGTACCATCCCGCTGACAACAATTGCGGAGAAGACCAAGCTTCCCTTGGATGGCGTGGAACATCTTCTGATGAAGACCCTTTCTGTATGTGCTTGAATCTTATGTTTTTGTCTCATACACAGCATTTGTCAGCGTTTTTTCGTGGTGGCTGGATTCATGGAACTGCTTTGTGTGGGTGTTGCTTTCAGGTGCATTTGATTGAAGGCGTCATTGACCAAGTTGATGGGCATGTGCGGGTTTCTTGGGTGCAACCTCGGGTTCTCAACCTTCAACAAGTGGCTGGTTTGCGGGATCGTCTTGACACGTGGCTAAGCCGTGTTCATTCCACCTTGCTTGCGGTTGAAGCAGAAACCCCAGATCTACTGGCAAGCTGATAGAGCTGAACCTCTACCCTACATGGTATACTTGCTTGACCAGCTGAGTGCAGATTTGTCTAGACTAGGGAGGGATACTGCTGTTGGCAGTCTAGCTCTTGCAGTTGACATTCATTTTACAGCACAGTTCCTCACAATTGTTGCACACTACTGTAAGATGCTACTGACTGACCATCTACAGTTGTTGATTCGGTTGGTCTCTACTAGCACACCCTTTGCATATGACAATACCCACACATCGCCACCTGTAACTACTGGACGTTAAAGCAACTACAGACACGGTTGACTAACAGTGCACTTGAAAATTCCGGATGACAAAGCAGACATGTTACGGTATGACAAACCGTGCATTAAGGATTCTATTATCCAACAAGGCTCGAAGGAAGGACCACACCACAGGCAGCACTAGCAGGGCTGTAGGACAACCTACGTAAAATGAAAATGCCGAACTCCAACAATGGAGTGGCTATTAGAATCAGATGTGCCCTGTTGCTTCATAGCCTTGACACGCTGCCATTGGAAACCTTACTGGTTGATCTCCTTCTTCTTAGCTTGCCACAACCGATCAAGGGAGCTGTCTCCCTCGCCCTGCAAGGAACAAGCAGGGCATCGCAATGTCAGATTGAGGTGAGCAGAAGTCGAAAGGCCGAACTAAACAACGTGTACGCGCAGAAACAAAACGGCACTGAACTTGATACAAACACAACCAGCACAACGTTACCCCGCGGTATGCTAATTAACACACAATAACCACTGATGCATGTTAAGCTAACTATCCCCAAGCAAAGCTCACTTCGAGATCCCAACTCATGCTCCTGCCGCTCGAACACCAGACGCCAGCTGACATGCGCTTACCTGGGCGCGCACGAAACCGCAGAGCGCGAAGGTGTTGTACTGGCCGGTGTACAGGCCATTCGCATCGAGGTTGCCGACGTTAATCTGAATGGAGGCGTGGTCCTTGGACGTGATCAGACGGTTGGTAGCCGAGCTGAAAGTGAAGAAGGGAAGGGGAATGACGGGGAGGCGATTACTTCTCCACACGGAGACAGCATCGATCGGCGAATCGGGATGTATTCGCAAATGAAATTATTGCAAAAAGACACTACGAGACGTCCTTATAGAAACTGTCATTCCCCCCTTGATAAGTGCGATGGCTGTCAGGCAATTCGGCGTTGTCAGCTAAGCAGGCGGTATCAGGCATCTAGAAAGCACGTGTCAGCGCAAACGCCACATCACCCAAGGCCCGCGACTGAGTTAGTACCAAGAACGGTAACCCTAAACCGCGTCCCTGGGTAAGCGCGACGAGATATACGGACTAAGAGCCGGGAGGACTAAAAATAGCACTACGAGACTGCGCAAGAAGATCGATAAGGTAGACCGCCGCCCGCCAAGGGCCACGGACGAAAAAACAGATGTGAGCGTCCGTTCAAATTATTAGCTCCACCATCTCGAACTACGTACCACTTCCTCGGGGTGTACAGATCCACGAACTCTCCGTCCTCGTTCTGCATGGTGGCGGGTTTGCCGGTAAACCGCTAGGAGACGAGGAGAGGTACGTAGGTAAGGCGGGATGCACGGA